TGTGTGTGTGTGTCTGTGTGTGTGTGTGTGTGTGTCTGTGTGTGTGTGTGGAAATTGTGGGAGGAGGAGGAGTGTGTATGTGTGTGTCTGTGTGTGTGTGTCTGTGTGTGTGTGGAGATAGTGTGTGTGGGAGGAGGAGTGTGTGTGTGTGTGTGTAGCATAGTGTGTGGGGTAGTGTGTGTGTGGGATAGTGTGTGGGGTAGCATGTGTGTGGGGTAGCATGTGTGTAGGGTAGTATGTGTGTAGGGTAGTATGTGTGTGGGGGGTAGTGTGTGGGGTAGTGTGTAAGGGGGGGGGAGGTAAGAGTAGTGGATTCACGAGCACAAGGACCTGAATTCAAATCCCCACAATCCATATAAAAAGCCACGCATGGCTTGTGTGCTCTAACCCTTGCACTGGGGCAGACAGAGCCAAGCAGGTCTTGGGAGATTACTGACAACCAGACGAGCTAAAACATTACACTTCCAGCTCAGTGAGGCTCTCTGTCTCAGGACAGTAAAATGATGCAGGAAGACACTTGACATCTGCTTTGGATTCCCAGTGGACATGTTCAGCTCGGCACATGTATGGGGTCCCATGTCTATACACTCATGTGTATTTATGTTACACAAAGAAAGGGGGAACGGTAAGGGAGGGGAGGCAGCAGGAGAAGAGAGGAGAGAAGAGGCGGTAGAAGTCCCAGAGACAGGCCCTGGGACCATCCTTCTGCACTGAAGGGTGAGATGACAAAGGGTCCCAGGAGATTCTGGTACAAGGTGTCTAGTGCTTTACCAGCAGAGGCTGGGAAGACTGAGCCATGGGGCATTAAGAGAAAGCCACACTCAGCCTCAGGTAGCTACACTGATGTTTCTTGTTCATGAAAACAAAAAATTAAACTATCAGAGAAAACCAGAATGTAGTGTTTAGATATGGTTCAAACTCAGGTCTAGAAGCCAAGAAGCCTGTTGAAATTGAACAAATGCAATTCTCTCCACTTTGGTTTCTTCGTAGAGGTAAATGCTCCAAGAAAGAATGTTTGGTAAATAACAAGCATCCAAACAACCTCTGAATAAACAAACACCAACTTGGTATTTCTTAGGAATACAGAGCATTATAAAGCAAATATCACGAGCTGCATGATGGCTCATCGGGGAAAGGTGCTTGCCTCCAAGCCTAACCGCCTGAGTTTGATGCCCACAACCCACATGATGGAAGAAGAGGACTAACTTCCATAAACTGTCCCATGACCTCCGTCCATTGTGCACCGTGACACGCACCTCCCCCATTGCTAGCTAACTAACTAACTAACTAATAGACAAACACCAGTGCTCACCTCTAGCTCACTAACAAACTAACTAATAGACAAACACCAGTGCACACCTTCATGTTTATTTACCTCTTGTCAATCAGCCAATGTTGTGGTGGATTTTGTGCTTGTCCTTTTTTGCTTTCTGCTCTCTCTCATGCATAGGCTTAAAAAATGTTTTTAAAAGGTTTCCAGATACAAGTGTTTGAGTATGCCTTAAACATTTACCTTTGGGTCCAGCTTTCTGGGTGCAAATTCCTCTCGATGGCAGCATTTTCGGCAGGCAATCCAAATGCATCCCACCCCATGGGATTGATAACCTGGTATAACAGAACAAAGTGGAAATGACAGAGAAAACATGAACATAGGTTTATAAAAAGGAATGCTTTTCTTCTGCTGCTCCCTTTCTCTCTTCCGCCTGACTCTAACAGGCTGCCTTCTTCACACAGCATCTGAGTATCTGGGGGTCATTTGTCACAATTCCTCCTTTCTTTGCCTATCACCGTTTTTCATTTTTAGGAGAGCCAGAAATTTTCAAATAAAATGATAAAACATGTCCATTGAAGAATAAAGAATGTGTTCCAGGAACAGATGTATTAACTCTACCAACTGTCCCATAAAGCCTGAGACCATCTTCATAACTGGACAGTGAGGGGGAGTAAAGGGTTAAGAGTGATATCCAGAAAGCTTCATATAAAGCCTTACGAATTCAGATATGAAAAAAAGTTGGCCAAGAGGAAGGCTAGAAACTGCCCCCCTAACTAAAACAGATCACTGGCTCAGAAGAGGTAACTCTAGAGTAAACTACGGCTCATTAAAAAAACCAAAACAGGGCTGGGGAAATGAGATAGCACAGTGATTAATGTGCTTGCCAAAGAAGCAAGAGAATGAGAGTCTGGATCCACATAAATGCCAGAGGATGTGGCAGCCCACCTCTAATCGCAGGTTCTGAAGGTGGAAATGGAACCCTAGGAACAAGCTGGCTAGAGACCTAGGTTTGATTAAGACACCCACCTCAATAGGCTTGCACATCTTTAACCCCAGCACTCGGGAAGCAGAGGCAGGCAGATCTCCAAGAGTTCTAGAGTAGCCTGGTCTACATAGTGAGAACAGGTCTAACAATAACACCGAAACCCAGAGATGATGGGGAATGTCCTTCCGTATGCTGTAAATATGTTTCTCTTATTAGCTGATGAATAAAGCTGTTTCAGCCAATGGACAGGCAGGAGGTAGCCAGATAGGAAGTGTAGGTGGGGTTACCAGACTAGAAGAATTCTGGGAAGAAGAACGGGGAGAGTGAGTTGCTAGAGTGACACCATGTAGCTATCAGAATGCCTGCGCACTCTCTGATAAGCGATAAGCCAAGATCATGTGGAAATACACAGATTAATAGTTATAGGTTAACAATTAAGAGAGAGTTAGCCAGAAAGAAACCCCAGCCATCAGCCAAACAGTTTATAATTAATATAAGCCTCGGTGTGTTTATTTGGGACTAAATGGCTACAGGGCTGTGGGGGACAGAAACTTCCATCTACATGTGTACCCAAATGTTTGGCAAGAATTTCCATATAAAACCTGACAAAAGCTTAAAAAGGGATTGTAAACACAATAAAACAGAATCAAGCTCGGCTTCTTGATAGCAGCATTTTCAAGGTAACTGATGCTCAGCTAAACTTTGAGAGTCTGACACCAGTTGGTCTATTTTAGACATATTCACAGCACAATTCAAAAAAAGATTTTTGAGAACAATTAACTCAGTCCCCTGAGTATAGCAGAGCTTAAGACATATTTAAGCTTCTTTTACAGAGGAGATGGGTACTGTTGACTCAGAGATAGAGCCCAAGATTTAGGAATTAAGATAATGACTGAGGTAAGCACAATGCCTGTGGGAGTCAGGACTGGTCTGAGATAACACAGAAGTCACTTAAGCTGTTGTAAAGTAGAAGTGACACCACTCATAAAGATGGGTTTATGCCCTAGAAGCAATGCTCAAGATTTAGATAAAAGGGTCTGGGATAAATAAAGCATAAATTCTGGGGGATACGAACAGAGGTTGGCTCAACAGATAGCAAAGGATCACCAGAGTATAAACTACATCCATCCCCAGCATTCCAGGAAGACAGGTAAACATCTTCCTTTGAAGGATGCCTGTGACATAACTTCCCGGGCTTCCCTACTGCTTATCTGTGTGCACACAGTTCCCATACCCATAGCTCTTCTGGAGTCAACTAGAAACAGATTCCTTTTCTTTCTTTCTTTTTTCCTTTACTGATGTTTTTCAAATTAAAAACATAATACAGTTGCAGCTGGAAAGATGGCTCAGTGGCTGACAGCACTGGCTGCTCTTCCAAAGGACCCAGATTTGATTCCCAACACCCACACGGCAGCTCACAACTGTTGTAACTCCAGTCCCAGGCATCTGATTCCCTCTTCTGGCCTCTGTGGGCACTGCATGTGCATGGTGCACAGACATACATGCACACACAGAAACATGTAGTTTCTATGGGAACAGAACCTGTTACACATAATATTTCATATAACACTATATCATAGGCATCTGTACAGAATACACAGGTACTGATACAGAGATTCTCAGTGTGATGGGACCTTTCACAGCACAGCTGTGCATGACCTGAAGCTTAGATACTGGTGTTTGAGTTTATAGGAAAATTGACCTGGGACAGCGGCCCTGAGCTTCTTGTCTCACACCAATGAAGAGTATTGACAGACTCCCATGGGAGTACGCAAGGTAGAAGCAAGCTTTATTAAGAATTATCACAGAAAAATGAAGAAAAAGAGAGAAGAATCTCCTGAGAGAGGGTGAAGTTTCCAGGACAGAAGAACCATTTCCTTTGTCCAGGTTTTTCCAGGGCAATGGTAGATATTGGACAAGACTGAGGTAATCTCTATTGAGAATGGTTACTTCTCTGGGCTCTCAGCATATTCCCCTGGCCCAAACAGTAAGACAACCATCTGGTATTCATGCACTGTCCCCTGGTTAAGGTTAGTTGGGGGCCCTTCTGTCCACCTCTGACTCTGGCTCATTGGCCATGCAAGCTGCCAGTTATTTGGCTAGGGTTATTTCCTTCCCATTTGCAGGTGTCATGCTAACTGTTAATATATTGAATGTCCAGGCTTTGTTAGTCTTCATCTTGGCTCCCTGCTGGCCTTCAGTCAACCTTCAGGTTGTCCCAAGTGCTGTTAATTCTATGGAGCTCTCTTCATTCTCACAGCTACCATGAAGCAGCAGCAATATTCTTGGTTATTGCCTTGTCTACAGTACAGTCTGGGGTCTCTTTCCAGAAATTGGGCTGGCATGTTATATGCCATCCTTACTACATCTCAGACTATTATAATTAGCTACATTAAAAGCAAGAATATGTAATAAGCCACAGAACCTAGCATGTATCTCCCAAAGGGGAAAGGTCTTTTGGAAGTTAGCCAGCTAACTAACCTGTTATCTCTGGCCTTGTTTCTTAGAGCCTAATTGTCTCTTATGGTCCACTTGGACATCTCAAGTATCTTTGTCTCTATTTTTAGTGCTCCTAGCTTCATTTTTTTAACCCTAATATTCCTTTTTTACTTTACCACCCATTTCCACAGGAACATATATGTATGGGAGATGTGTACTTTTCACCATGGGTCTTTTTCCCTTCTGCTGACTATGAGCTAACCCTATCTCAGCATGATGTACACAAATCTGTATAAACAAAATTCTAATGTTTGCTGAGTAAATCTATTCTGTGCAGCTTTGGGAGCCTGATTAGACAAACCCCAAGCCAATTGGGACATAAGGTCTCTTTCCTTCCATGAAATATGGGGTGTCCCATCCTCCCTAAAAGCATCTCCCCATCTCAGTAACTGCTTCCTCTTAAGCTTCACACAGCCCTGGTATGGATGGTCAGTTTCAAAACCTTTCCCTCATAGTGAAGCATTCATGGGTTTGGACCCTTCCCTGGGCTTTTCTGGAGCTAGAATGGCTACTGCAGTGGCAGGGACTCTTCTCACAAGGATTCCCAGTGGTGGGACAGCCTCATGGTGACATCTGAGAAAGCAGAATGAGAGCTGAAGCAGGTCAGGACAAAGAGGAGCCTCAAGGGCCCCGCCCCAGTACCCAGAGAGCCTAGGCTCCTGCAACATTTCTTTGATCCTGTGAATCTTACCAGCATCTGTAAAAACAAAACCTCCCTTTTGGCAGAAGCTGGCCTAAGTTAGGCTTCAGTCCCCAGGAACCAGGGAGCCCCATTAAACAAGCATCATTGGCACACAGGATTCCTGCTCTGGAATACTGCTGTATCCACAGAAGACACAATCTTCCATGTTTGCTTTTTTCCCCTCTGCCTCTTTTCAGGAACTAAAAAGCCCCATTCTGGGTTATTCAGAAGTTCTTCCATACTGCCAGGCCTGCACTTGAGTTCTGTTTGTACTGCTCTGAATTCTCCCAGGTTGCTTCCTTGGAAGAACAGGGTAGCTGTTGTGTAACTGTTCGGCAGAAAAGGGAACTTAATCATCACTTAGAGTCTTTGTCAGAACTACCAATGGCACCAGTCCAATGTTCTGCCCATTAACATTGTTAGGTCCTATCTGGGTTTTTAGATAAATTCAATACAGGAAGAGACTGTCACACAACACACACACACACACACACACACACACACACACAGAGAGAGACAGAGAGAGAGAGAGAGAGAGAGAGAGAGAGAGAGAGAGAGAGAGACAGAGACAGAGAGAGAGACACAGAGACAGAGAGACGGAGACAGACAGAGAGAGAGACAGAGACAGAGCGAGAGACAGAGAGAGGGTTTAGAGTTATATAACAAACTTATTCATTTCTATTTTCATTTTTAGATAGAATTAACATGAGAGGATATTCTTAGATCACATGTTATCTAAGCTGTCTATGAACATCAAGTTAGAAAAATCTTAAACTTCCTTAATATTTCAAATTTTTCATAAAAATTAACAAACTCAACTGTCTGACCCACTCTAGGAAGTCTTTCCTACAACTCAAAGTCAGGAGCGTTCCTTCTACCATCCCCCAGGTCGCTGCAGGCCAAATTTTAAACCAGGAGGGTTCCCTGTTCATAAGCCCTGGGGGCCACATGCAGAGCCCATTCCCTTGCTGTAGGCTGTCTCACTTCTAGTGTGGGAGAGTCAGGGAGTATAGACCTAAGCACCATTGCAATACACCCATGCATCTATCCTTCTGCAGCAGACTGTGTCCTAGTAGATGGCATGCACCTGTAATTCCAGCATTCAGGAAGCTCACACAGGATCCTGAGTTCAAGTTAGCCTGGGTTACACAGTAAGACCCTGCTGC